TGATACCAGTTACACTCATATCCCCCTACCTCCACAGATACTTTCTTTGGGCTTCTGAGTTTTTTCAGATATAACACACACGATAGGCACGTGGGCTTCCTTATTCCTTGTTTGATCAGTTGGGATATCTGGACATAAAGGAATAATGTGAAGCATAGAGATAACTCTTTTTTTGTTTTCCCATATTATTTTGCAGGTTGACCGGCATATCTCTCTCCTCACTGCTTTGGGCAGACTCACCTAGAGAGATTGGACAGGTTGCACGCTACCTCACTGCCTTGCACCACCTCCGTTGCTGCCTGTCCAGAATCTACGACCCAGAGTTGTTGTTTGGTTGAAACCCGAGTTTCCTTGGGTTAAGCTACATACTGACGGAGCCTTTGACCGACTTACTGGAGCCACCGAATGTGGGGGCCTGATTAGGGATCATAGCGGCGCCCTTATTACTGCTTTCCATGCCCCTTTTCGGGCGTTCTCGAGATATGACGCAGAGAATCAGGCGCTTCAGATCGGCCTTCAAATTGTTGCCTTGATCTCCTCTCATATTTGGATTGGGTTGGACGCTGCCGCTGTCATCGCACTCTTGACCTCTGGCCATCAGGGCACTTGACATATTCAACATCTACTCATGCGGATTAGAGGGACACTTCGATCGATTCGCTATTGGATCTCACACATTTTCCGAAAGGGGAACCGACCTGCTGATTTCTTTGCTTCATCGGGACCTCCTTCCCTAGGGACGTATTCTTCTGCCTGACGATATTCCTCTCCGCCTCCGTACCCTTATACGGATGGACCAGATGGGATACCCATCGTTCAGATTTGGATAGTCGGCCCCTACCTTTTGGTGCTCCTGCTCCCTCGTGATGCTGACTCTTTGCCTGGACTCTTTTCGGACCAGGATTGGATCTTTTGGTGTTATTTGATGTTGTTGTCTTTTTATTTTTCTTGTTTTTTTTTGTTCTCGTTTATTTGAACTGTTATTTTTTGACATTAGACTGTAGATTTGTGACTTTTCAGCCAATTTAGAATATTTTTTTATATATACAGGTTGGGGGTTAGGCATAAACCCCTCACCCTCTTGGAATGTTGTTAAAAAAATTAGAGAAATGAAAGAGTTTTAGGACCAAAAAAAGTGAGAGCCTACGATTATCTTCGGTGGGATTTTATTGAAGATACACTTCGGCTAGCGGGGCTCCCGGCTGTTTTCGTTCGAGGGGTTATGACTTGTATAACTTCGGCTTCCATGCAACTCCAATTTAATGGAACCATATCGGAGGACTTCATCCCCTCACGTGGTGTTCGCCAAGGCGATCCTATATCACCGTATCTTTTCGTCTTAGCAATGGAGAGATTGGCTCACCTTATCAACCTTAGAGTTGACGAAGGCGTGTGGCGCCCAATCTCGATAGGTCGAGGCAAAGTGTCTGTGCCATATCTTATGTTCGCAGATGACTTACTGCTATTCATGGAAGCCTCATCCAACCAAGTGGACGTGCTTAATGAGGTGTTATCGACTTTTTGTAATGCCTCGGGCTTGAAGATTAGTGTGGCTGAAACGAGTATTTTCTTCTCATCAAACGTGGATGAACAGACCAAACGCCATCTTGCCCAATGAACCGGGTTCCAGAGGGTTGAAAATCTGGGAAAGTACCTCGGCATGCCGATAATTCACGGGCGTGTTACTAAGCGAACATATGAGGGGATTCTGGAAAAGAAGGAGCATCGGCTGGTTCGGTGGAAATCTTCATCCCTTTCACTGGTGGGTCGCGTCACTTTAACTCAAGCGGTGGTAAGTAGCTTGCCTTATTACTCCATGCAAACCACATGGATCCCGTCGGCGGTCTGTGAAGGGTTGGTTAAGTGTTGCTGGAGGTTTGGTTGGGGTGGTTCAAGCTCTGAACGTAAGGTCCACCTTATTAATTGGAATTCTTTATGTACGCCTAAAGAGGAGGGCGGGCTTGGGTTGAAGAATCAAAGACGAATGAACATGACTCTTCTTATGAAGCTTGCTTGGGGATTGTTAAGCAAGCCTGAGTCCCTTGGGCGTGGGTTCTATGCGCTAAATATAGACTCCAACCGCGCGCCTTGCTGACTCTTTTTCATCGCTTGTTGGGATCGGTGGTCATGCGAGCAATTGCCAGAGTTTGGCCGTACGTCGTTAAGGGGACTAGATGGTCTATCGGCGATGGGACACGTATTCTGTTTTGGTGGGATAACTGGCTAAATTTCTCCGAGGCTTTGATTACCCGTGTGCGTGGAGTTATTCCCGAAGAGCAATTAAACCGGTCAGTCTGACGATACGTCACCGACATGGGACAGTGGAACTGGCAACTATTCTCTTCCTTACTCCTACCGTCGGATCTTCTCCGAATATCGGCTATCTTGTCACCTAAGGCGGGTGCTGGTAGTGATCGCATGTTTTGGGGTTGGTCGTCTACTGGCCATTTCACGACCAGCTCTGCATATATTTCGCTGGCACCGGTGGCACAGGCCCCTAAAAACCGACTTTGGAAGCTGATTTGGAGTTGGGTTGGTCCTTAAAGGGTTAAACAATTTCTATGGCTAGCTACGCGGGATCGCGTATTGACCAATGCGAGCGGCACCGGCGTCACCTTGCGGACAGCCCGATATGTGAACTATGCCAGACCCATCCAAAGACTACTCTTCATGGGTTACGCGACTGTGCGCTCTCGACCCAATTCTGGAAGAAATTGCTCCCTCCGTCGAGATGGTCAGTTTTCTTTAGCATGGATTTGGGTAAGTGGCTGGAAGCTAATTTAACTAACAAAATGGATATATTCGATGCGAGCTGGGATGTTTCTTTTGGCATAAGTGTGTGGCGGCTGTGGCATGGCAGGAACAATTTCATTTTTAATGGAATTGAGCTTGTGGTGGATAGGAAGATTAATGAAGTATGTAGCTTCGTTGATTCTTTGAAATTCGCAAGGTCCAGCTACTTGCACCTTGGGAATTGTGGGACCATGCGTAGGGAGCGGATGATCTGCTGGGAGCCACCGGGGCTGGGATGGATAAAGAGTAATTCGGACGGGGATTTCAACACGTTTACGGGCATGGCAAGTGTGGGTGGTCTGTTACGTGATCACAATGGGAGGTTCTTGGGTGGTTTCATCATGAATATTGGATTTAAATCCATTATGGGCGCGGAATTATGGGGGTTGTCGCAAGGTTTGAAGTTAGCATGAGACTTGGGATATCGCCGTGTTATAGCAGATGTAGACAATAGGTTGGTTGTGGACTGGGTGAATGGTCAGGCTGATGTCGAAGGGGTGCATAGTAGCCTAATACTGGCTTCGAAGGAGCTGATGGAGCGTGATTGGACTGTACTTATCCGGCATGTCTATCGGGAATCAAATTTCTCGACTGATTACTTGGCTTCTTTAGCAGCAACTAGCTCGGGTGGTTTGCAGCGCTTGGAGTTCCCGCCAGCTGGTTTGAAGTCATGGCTGGAGCACGATGTGATTGGAGTGTCTTACCCACGTATGATAGTTTCTTAAGCTTCCTCTCCTCTCTTAGTACGTTCTTACATCATTTTCAAACAATCATTTGCATGTTTGAAAGCACAATTATTGTATTACTCAGAAATTTTTAAATAAATCAAGAACTTGATCCGGTAAAAAAAAAATTAAAATAAAATACCCATAACACATTGAGAATTTGAAACAAAATTGTGTTTGTTTGTTTTATTTTTCCACTAGCTAGTAAACAATCTACATTAATTTTTGTTCCCATCACCACCTGCGGACCTAAAACCATCTATACTACTTTAAAAGGAGGAGTGTTTTTGTAAAAATTCATAATGCTTAAAAAACCCTTACTTTACATAAATTTAATGGCAAATTAGTAATTAATACACTAATACACATCATATTTTATTTATATTTTTAATTAAAAAATGAACTAC